TACCTTCCTTCTGGCCCAGCACCATCCATACCACAAAAGAAATTTCCCAATAAGAATATATATATATATATAGCGCATGCATTTATACACGCATATATATATATGTGTATGTATGTATATATGTATATATGTATTTATATACGTACTTACATGCGTATAAATATACGCATTTGTTGATACTGACGATACTCTTAATTCATAACCTGGCGAATGCACGGCCATTTTTTGCTGCCTTCCTTTCCCAAAGAAGTCCTCAAACAGCACAGCCTTGTTCATAACATATGTACTCATGCATGCATGTAGTGCATGCACCAATAACCAATCAAGAACCAGCACAGGGAGGGGAGTGTAAGGTGTAGGGCTGCCCTTAAAGACCCGCTTCGCGTCCGCTGTTACCGGGCAAGAGTTTGCTTGCTAGCAAGCGGGTCAGTCGGAGGCGAAGGGGTTTGTAGGCGATTCACGCAAACGAGATGAGTCGTTCAAGTTCCCAATAGAGGCTGCTGCTGCTAGCTGATGATGGCTTCCTGCCTGGGAAAATGGCGGCTGTCGTGGAGTAATCTGCGAGCCTGGCTCTGAAGGGCTGGCGGGAGGGCGGGAGCTTTGAGAAGGCGTTCTTCGAACAGGCTCTATAGGGCTGGTGCTGTGGGGGCTGTTGGCTTTGTTGCTGCCTCTCTGCCTTGCTGATTACGGAGTGTTGCTGCTGCAGCTGCTGCTGCTGCAGCTGCTGCGAAGCCTGCCCGCCAGGGTGTGTAAGTGGAGAGAAGTACTGCGTCTCCTCCAGCAAACGAATGGAGGCCCTCACTGCCGCCACGTCTACCCCAGAACCGGCTAAGAAAAGAATCATCGCTTCCAAAGCCTGCATGAATGCATGTAAACCACCGCCAGAAAGTATCAGCACACAGACAAACCCATTCGAACCCAAATAAACAAACGAATAATAAAAGAAATGCACACGGATACAGACAAAAGAGAAACAACAAACCACAAAGACGGCTGAGAGGCTTGACTTCAGACTTTCCCATTCAATATTTCTGCTGGAAAGAGCAAGAAGATTAGCGTGCAACAAACAACAGAAACGAATTATGCAACCGATGATGATGGCCGACTTTAATATATATATATATATATATATATATATATATATATATAAGGCATTCTCAATCATCTTAAGACTTCAAGTTATCATCCATTTACTCATGATATTCTGTTCCATATTCAGACTTCAAATTATATCTATTTATTTAAGACATTCTAATCCTTCTTAAGCCCCCAACAAACAGGGGAAAACTTCGTACTGACCCGTGCAACTTGCATGGCGGCTTCCGGCGCGCTGCCGTTCATTGTCTGTTGCATTTCCCTCCTGCAGCACCCCAAATGCATCATTAAACCCGCAGTTCTCCGCACTTAAGCTGCTAAATATTCCATTTAGACTGGCAAAACTGATTTAAGATTGATGCAGTGACGGAGGAAAGAGCTTCCTACGCAAGTTCTGCCTCAGCCATTTGCAGGCAGTTCCGCGCGACCTGCACTTCATCCTCCGCCTGAAAGACCAAATACACGCAAGAAACACTAAACGTTTTTGTTGTGATGCTTTTCTTTCTCTTGGCAATCATAATATTACTACCCTTACGGGAAGCATAAAGCGATCGCTGCATTGACAAGCACATATGCACTGAGATTCAGAAGGCTTGTGCCGATTGTATACGCACGGTTTTAACCTTATGTCCAGCCTGAGGGTCTTTCCCAGTTTCTGCCTTTTGCTGCAGTTTTCGCAGGCCCTGAGGCACATGCAATCAAACGTTTACTTCATTTCCATAAGACACAAGAGAACAGCAGCAAAAACTACTTCATTTCCGTGCAAAAACACAACGAACTAACGAAGCAACTGCTTCATTTCTATCGAAATGAAAACCATAAATTACGTACAAAAAAATAGAACAACAATAAAATATCAACAGATGCCAAACATCATCCGCTTATTGCATCATTTTCGCGTTTTTTTCTGCATTTGTCAATCGTCCTTAATCACGTAAAAGCCAACCTTTACTGAATAAAAGTGCATTTAATCTCTACAGACAATTTAAAATTGTAGCACTATTATGACAATAATAATAGCAGTAATAATAAGAAAACGACAGAGGAAAGCACGAATATTCACCGCCTCCTTCTTCAGCAGTCTCTTTTCTGCGTCTTTCTTCCGCCTGCTCGCCTTCTAAAACAGCAGACAACAAACAAAACGCAAAAAAGGGAAACAAAAAGAATACAACTCCACGCGCACAGCAAAATTATGTTATTCAGTTCACTGGTTAAAAGAGAGGAAACTCTTAATATTTGCAATGCGCCCGAGAAGGTGGGCTGATGCAAGCACGCATGCATCCGTGTATGCAAATATGTACATATTTGCATACATATATATATGTAAATATATATATGTAATATATTTACGTGCATGCATGCATTTGATTCATATGGGGGCCTTCTTACCTCGACCTTGGCAATAGATCTTGCTGCATCTGCATTTGCCTTCTTAATCAGATCCAGTTGGGGTTTCTGCAGAAAGCCACGCGATAAAAGAAACACAGGTCAATTCATATTATGTGGCCTAGTACAACAAACTGAGGCGCTCTTATAATTACAATTGCAACAGGTGAAGTGCATTTGGGCTGCAAGAAACTGAATTGCCTCTACGGGTCAATAGAATATAATATTATTATGTTGCAGCGGCGATAATTAGTACGTTGCAGCATATTCATACTCCCAACCCTTTCGAATTCAACTTACTACAGAGGTGGGGATCGTCTTAAATGAGTCCTGAAGATATCCGGAAACAGCACAAGAGGTATGGGTTGTGCAACGTGGGTTTGTTTCTGATGATGCAGCGGCTGGAGCTACATTATATTTTTCATGGTTTAATTTGCAACAAGAGTGTATATTGCAACATAACAATACTAAATGCGTTGAAGCATAATGAGCGTGCTTAGTGTGTTGCAGTACGAGAACAACACACATAAAACTACTCCATTTTATTTACCAAGGCGGCGCTTATCTCTTCAACTGGCCGTTGATATGCTGGCTTATCGTAGAAGTATCCGGTGATGCCAACGCGAAGTGCTTTTCCGCTCTTCTCCCAATCTGCACAAAACCAATAGGTTTGCATGCATGCACTGTACACACCTGAGATAACGCGTTCGAAGGGATTGAAGTTTAAAACTTTCGAATACACAAATATAATTCTGATATGCAGAGCCGAAGAGGATGTGTTTTCACGGCGTACACCTCAGGCATCTCTGAATGCTGTGAACAAACTGGTTGATCGCCTTAAGCGCATTCCGCTGACGACGCAGCTCCGCGTCAAGAGGCGTCTTTCCGTGCTTGGAGCACTGAGAAGAAAAAAAGAAGAAAAGGAAGAAACACACCCTGGAAAACCGTCTCCTTACTCGTGCCCGCTTCTACTCTATGAAATCGCTGCTCCCATGTGCTGTACAACGAGTCGCCGCAGCTATCTTCCTCCACAATTTGAAAGTATTTAAAGAGATATATATTATTCATGGACAATAAAACCAAAATACTCCGAAAAAGACGGTGGGCTGCAGCCGGATTGTGATGCCACTACAGACCCACCAGTCGGCCCAGGAACCCGAACATAATGGCCGATTGAAATAGGATTCTGTTTCCTTCTTCTGTTTTCAGTTATGAAAGGAGTTCCAACTGGGTGAATTCTTGCAAATTCAACAGATGCCGCCGTCGTATGCCAATGGGTGAAAGAAGAAAACGGCTGCTAGCAAGAGAAGGCGCCCTCCTGCTGTATGCGCAGCTGCGTCACGTGCATGTGTCTCACTGTTAAGCGACCAATTATCATGAAAATTCAATAAGTAAAATAGAAACATTCCCCATGGAACTACTAAACTTGAACGGAACACAGGCTGCCCCGGGGTCCCGAGTCGGTGGCAGTGATGCAAGATCCCGATCGCATGCAACAAGACCAAAGGGCTTGGCAAGTATCCGCTAGAACCACATCTATTTACTCTTCTTTTTAAAATATTTTAATCTTCATCATTGAATATATATATCCCGGGAGAGAACAGGGAGAATGCCTGTCTCCCGCCTCCCCAGTCTGCCGCTTCCACAATGGGAGGGAAGCCGCGTCGTAGCAGCTGGTTAAGTTTGCAGTCAAATTTCAAGACTCGGCGAGTAAATATATTTATTTTGCAAGTATAATTATAGCCAACAAGGACGCCGAAGATGCCGCACTCATTCCGCCGTGGTGCGTTTTCTATTTTCTTGCAAGAGCACACCAATTGAAACTCCGTTCATTAGTAAAAAAGAACGCAGAATTCACGTCAGAGTCAAGGCACACACGATATCTTATTGAGGCCACAGACGGCCTCTTGATGAGTGCCTATACACATCTCGCACCCTCCACAGGGTGTAGAGATATGGGCTGCAGCGCGCTGGTGTACTAATTAATGGCATTATATAATAGTTTATAATATCGCACTTTATATCCAAGGTGATATTATAAGGTGCGTTTCTACCAATTCAGTGAAGCACTTAGTGACAGTACTATCGAATATGCAGTATGGCCAATTCCAATTCAGCCAATTGCAATTCAGAAGCTGCAGGGTCCCCCGCTAATTTTTATTTATCACCAGCTTGTTTAGAGATGCAACAGCCAGCCTCTGTCGTTCCTAATAAAAGGGAAGAAAGAAAGTATTACAACATCGATAACACATTAAGTGTCTTCTGCACTTAATAGGAAGGCTGTAGAGAGAGGCGTTGGCGAGAGCCACGACGAATTTTGTAAGCCGTAGGAGTCAAGGCAGCTGAGGCGGCCTTCTTCAAAGCCCTGCGGAATCCCGTGCGAGGCAGCTCATTGCAGATTTATTTGCTTATAAATGAGCATAATGTTGTTGTTAACTTAACTAGCGCTCAGCCGATAATGGCAGTACTTCTGCAAACACCAAAAGGGGGACTGTACGCATGCATGCGCATGTGCATGCGTGCAAATGGGGCTGCCTCGCTGGTGGAGCGGCTGCAGCAAGTGCTGCAACTGAAGATATCAGCAAAAATGTGCTGCTGTAGTCAGCCCCCATGAAGGCGAGAGAGAGGCTTCACCCTAAACCATAAACCCTAAACCCTGCTGCTGCTGCTCTTGAGGCTCTGCTATATGAGCAAAGGATGCAGTGAAGACTATGGGGACCGAGACTGTCCTCCTTATCCTTTTGCAGCCGCTGCAGGAGCTGCAACAGCAACGAAAGTTGCACGAGCTGCTACACGAGCTGCTGCAGCTGCTGCAGCTCCAGTAAGGTTAGCTGCTCGTTAAAGAGTTATCTTTTACATGCGAGGCGGCTGCAATTCCTAACAAAGGATGCTGCCCTTTTGAATCCAGAATAGCTGCTACTTCCCTACGATAAGAGAAAGGTTTTAGTCATCTGGGGAGGAAATCTTCAATCGAAGATAGGGGCAAGCCGATGCAGAAAGTTTGTTTCTAATTCCTTAGTTCATTCAGAGTGTTTGCCAATACCTTCTTCTGCGCTCAGTTTATCCTTATTAGTGCAGCAAGCATTCGCCTTGTGCAAACGAAGAAACAGATGCAGCAGAAACATCAAATGTACAGCAGCAGCCCTAGGAGGCTGTTCTGTTGCATGCATATGACAGCCACAAGTAACAGCTGCTGCAGCTGTCTCATTCATATTATAAACAAAGCAAGTATTTGCTGCTTTAATCAACGACGGGGCTGATGACAGACGTAGGTAGAGACAGAATGAATAGCTGAAATAAGGACTTCATAAATGATTTTCTGCAATTCCAAAGCATTACTAATATTGCAATTCTTCTCTATTTGTACACTGGGGAGGAGAGGGCGACAAGCAAACAATAAAACAGATGTACTAAGGAGTAAGGAATAACTTTCTCTAAGGAATTCGGCAAGATAATTGTATAACTTGGGGAGAAAAGATGTCTCAAGGACTGCAATAAAACGATATAAGCGACTGTTTATCAAAAGCACAGGTCTCCGCTAAGTTTAATTACAATATAGGGGGGTTGAGACATGCTCAGTGCTGATACTGTAAAGAAAATATTTTAAAAATAATACGTATATCTATCAGCTGTAGTAAGCAGAACGAGGACAGCCGACTCGAGAAGCGAAAGGAGCCTAACTTTCTCTCTCTCTCCCTCTCTGGCTATCTGTAGAGGCATATTTAGGGTTAAAGAGTTTAATTCATAGAGGTATTCTTTCTTCTTTACCCTCAACTTTCATAATAAAACTTTTTAAAGCTCCATACAAAACAACTCGAGAGCTTGCAAACGCCTACACATAACTGCAGCAAACTATGCGTGTACTGAATGCATCTCAAGAAGGGCGATCTTCTTCGTTCTTTTCAGCAACTAAACCAGATTAGAATTTAAATATAATATTTTTTTGAATAATTATATGATCTGCATTTAGCAGACACAACAGAAGAACACAAACAGCCAGCAGCCCCCGCGGGGCCCCTCGGTCTGAGGCCCCCCGATACATACATTCAGAAGTTGAATATCTGCAGCATTTTTAAACTCCTTTTAATTTAATCCATATGACTAATCTTCTGCATCAATAAGAGTAAATTGGCGTCTGGGGATCCCGCTGTTGCAGCTTTCTAGTCGCACACTGGAGGGTTTCTGCACTCTGAATAAGCAGTATACACCAATAGAGAAACTCTTCTTCTTCTCATCTCGCTGCGCAGTCTGGTGATTTGCAAAGAGTACTGCGGTAGCCCCTAACACCTCCCCCTCTGCTCTGCTGCAGCAATAACAGCAGGTGCTGCTGCTTGCTGCTGCAGCGGCGGCAGCAGCTGTTGCAGGAAACGCAGCAAATCCAACAACAACAGCTCAAACAGCAACAGCAGCAGAAACAGCAGCAGCAGCACAGACAGCACCAGCAGCGATACAGACAGCAGCAGCAGCAGCACAAACAGCAGCAGCAGCGTCAAGGAATCCAGACAAGGAGGGCTTCCCTTTCTCATGCTGCAGGGTCAAGTGCCTTGCGGCCGCCAACCTTCGCTGAGGTGTTTGTCTGTGGATACCATTAATAAGGGGTTTTCGTGTTGTTGTTCCATTTGAATCCTTTGGCATTTCTTTAGGGGCGCAGCTGCAGCAGCAACTGCTGCAGCAACTGCTGCAGCAGCTGCTGCAGCAGTTGCTGCAGTAGTTGCCGCAGCAGCTTCTGCAGTAGTTGCCGCAGCAGCTTCTGCAGTAGTTGCCGCAGCAGCTTCTGCAGCGGCTGCATCAGCAGCAGATTTCCATCGGACTCCACAACCTTGTTTGCTCCCTCCTACCCTCGAGCAGCGCCTCGACCGAGTTTGTCGTTTAGGGTTTGGGGTTTAGGGTTTAGTGTTGACGATGGGTCTCTTGAGGCCGCGCGAGCGGCTGCTGAAATCAGCAATTGCTGCAGAAGCCCGTATCCGCTACAAGGGACGACGCATGCACAAGCGCTTCCGCAGTTGGTCGCAGCACAGGTAAGATCTCCTCTGGCTAGCTAGCTAGCCAGCTAGCTAGCTAGCCATGCAGGTACTTGCGGGGTTCGTTGCTCCGTTTGTTGCAGCTACCTTGCTAGCTAGCTAGCCAGCAAGCTAGCCAGGTTCAGAGTGGGTGCTTCTCTCGTGTGCGTCTGTGTTGCTTTGATGGAGAAAGAAGCCATTGCTCGTGTGGCCGATGGGGAGGCATTTGTTACGCTAGCTAGCTAGCGGAGGATTTACCTACTCTAGCTAGCTAGCTAGCTAGTTATCCAGAAAGCTAGTTGTCTTACACCTGTCCTTTGTGCTGCGTTTTATTCTCTTTTCAGAGTGCGTCAGTATTGGCTGCCCCAGAAGGTGTCGCTGCATGCAGACACCGCAGAGATGAGCCCAGCCTACCTGACTGCTGCCGTACAGAAGGCCGCAACTCTGCGCAAACATGACGCCGCTCTATGGTGAGAATATATTAGGGGTTAGGGTTTAGGAATTAGGGTTTAGGGTGTGCTGCTTGGAGCTGTGAGTTTCCGTAGTTTAGGGTTGAGGGTTTAGGGTTTAGGGTCTAGGCAAACGTAAGGGGTAGGGACTGGCGATCTACACTGCTTGGCCACAATGAAGGACGCCTGAAGTGAACTAGGGTTTAGGGTTTAGGGTTTACGGTTTGGGATTCGTTCGTAGGTTCAACTTTTCCCGACGAGCGCAGCAAGTTGCAGACAGCTTCACCCCGCAGCAACTTGGGTATCTGTTTTACGGGTGAGTGTTTCGGGTTTAGGGTTTAGGGTTTAGGAGGCGTACATGCAGGGTTTGGCGTGTCGGGGCACACTGAGTTTGCACGGTTTAGGGTTTGGTGGTTTGCTCTATGGTGCTTCCGTTTGTGCGTGGGTATAGGGCTTTGGTTTAGGGTTCCTGCCTTGTGTACAGTACACAGTACAGACAGTACATCTGTGGTTCTCTATTTAATTATATTTCAGCGTCTGGATCCGCTCCTTTTATTATTTATGTTGTGCTGGGAGGCGTGTCTTCTAGTCTTGATCGTTTGTGTGTTTGCATGTTACTGCCTGCTGTCTCTGCATGCATCATGCATGCGCCCGCAGCTTCGGCAAGGCCCGGTTTTTAGACCCTCCGCTGTACTCCTGTCTCCTTCGCTACGCCGTTGCTTCTCTTGAAGACTTCGCTTCCCACGCCCTAATGGCTGTACCGTGGGCCCTCAGCAGGGTCTCCATTCGGGAGGTTTCTGCTCTCACGCAAGTAGGGGTTTAGGGGCTTGAGCTAGGCTCTGAAGGGCTTAAAAATGAGGGGCTTAAGAGCTTGCGGGAAGGGTTTAGGGTTTAGGGTTTAGGGTTTAGCAGGTAGGATTTCAGGGGGCTGAGTGACCTCAGGCCGATAGTTCAGTTGGATAGAATGCCCGGCTACGGACCGGGTGGTCGTGGGTTCGAATCCTGCTCGGCCTACTTTTTGTGTTTAAAATACAAACGAAACCGGCAGAAGATATGTGCATAGGGGCCCTTGTTTTCACATCAGATTTCGAGTTTGAGTCCAGGATTTAGGGTTTAGGGTTTAGGGTTTAGGGTTTGAGGTGTATGTACAGGTGGGACAGGAAGCAGTGCTGAAGGCACCACAGATGCGCCCAGGCGACTTGATTAAAATAGCAGTTGGCCTTGCTAAGTTGGTGCGGCTTCTGTTCTTCGTCCCTTTGCTGTCTGCGTGTCTGCTGCTATCTGTGCTGCACACTGCAACAGCAGTGTTCCTTTGCTGCTGCCTGTGCTGCGATGCAGCGAGAGTTTTCTTTTGCTGCTGTCTGTGCTGCCCTGGAGCACCAGTTTTCCTTTGCTGGTGCTGCTGCTGCTGCTGAACTGCGGCGGCAGTTCTCTTTAGCTGCTGTTTACTGCTGAATGTTTGTCTTTTTCTTCATCTTACACCGTCTCTCATCTGCCTCTATCTGTCTCCAGCTTTCTTTTTCTCTCCTGCAATTCCTTGCCTCCACGAGGTGTCTCCTTGTTTGTTCGTCTCCTCAGGGGGCGTGCCCTCCTTCTCTGCGGGAGCGGCTGAGCGCTGTGTTACTGCCTGCGCTTAAAGAGGCCTCGGCTTTAGAGTTTCGGGGCTGCATGCACCCCCTTGCTGTTATCGGGGTGTACACGCAGCCCCTACAGACCTTCGTTATGGAGCGGTTCTCGAAGTATGTTGCAACGGAGGCCTAGGGTTCAATGTTAAGAGTTGAGGGTTTAGGGTTTAGGGTTTAGGGTGGTGCCTTGACTGCTGAACAACCCTTAATGGCTGGGACGTGCAAAGAAGTGACTATGCATTTCGAATGCCTTCTAGAAGGGGACTTGTTGTTCCACTGCTGCTGTTGTTTCTGCTGCTGCTGCTGCTGGGTATGCTGCTGGTGCTGTTGCTGGGGACGTGTCGCTGCTACTGCTGCTGCTGTGTATGCTACTACTGCTGCTGCTGCTTGATGCGAGTAGCTGCTGCTGCTGCTGGTTGCGCGTTGCTGCTGCTGCTTTAGGATATTTATCTGCGCCCGCCCCCCTCACCTGGAGAAGGCGCTGCAGACGGCGGTCTCCATTCGTGTTCTTCAGCCAGAGACGTGGGCAGCAGTACCGAAGAAAGTTCGACAGTTCTATGCGAGACTCAGGCAAGATTTACAACCAGGGATTTAGGGTTTAGGGTTTAGGGTTTGCGGGTGTTGGTCTAGGGTTTACGGTTTAGGGTTTTAAGCTTTTAGGTCGCTGCTCGATATAAACTCCTGCTCCTCGCTCTCAAAACCTGCTGCAACCTTCTTCGGCTGGCAGCAGCTGCTGCAGCAGCAGCTGCTGTTGCTGCTGGTTGTGCTGTTACTGCTGTTAGCTCCTCTTGTACTTGCTGCTTCTAGTGTTGTTGCTGCTGATGCTGTTGCAGCCTGCGCCGAATTTCTCACCCGGCCCGGCGTCCGTCTGCTTTTCATTGGGAAGTGTCTGATTGTCTCGCCGCCCTTGGTGTTGCTCATCGCAATACTTTTCAGTAAAATGCCCTTAGTTGCTGCTGCTGTTGCTGCTGCTGCTGTTGCTGTTATTTGTGCTGCTGTCGTTGGTGCTGGGTCTGCTGCTGCTGATACAGCTAGCTTCTGTTCATGTTGGCATTTGGACGGTTCCTACAGTGTCTTGCATGCGTGGAGCTTTGCTACTGCTGCTTTTGCTACTGCTGCTGCTGCTGCTGCTGTCTCAGCTGGGGTTGTTTCTGGATTGACATTGGAGAGGCAGCAGACAGAAGACGGTGCATCTTCGTAGACGGGCCCGCTGCTTTCTACACGAATTCAACGCAATATACAGAGGCAGTTAAACTCCAGCACAGGTACCTCTTGCTGCTGTTGCTGCTTCTGTCGCTGCTGCTGTTGCTGCTGAGGGTTCTTATGCACCTGCACCTGGCCCACTTTCTGCTGCACCTGCTGCTGCTGCTTCTGCTGCGGCCGCTGTGGGCCCTGTTTCTTTGGGCGCTGCTGCTGCTGCTGCAGATAGACGGTGGTCTTGGCTGCTGCTGCGTTTGCTGCTGCTCTACCCGTTTGGCAGTGTTTGTTGTTTGTTCATAGTGCTTTTTTTCTATTTTTAATACTATGCTTTGCGTTTATTTGTGTGTTATATTATTTATAGAGTATACATTATATTTATTTTTATGCGTACGCTGCTTGGCCTTCCCTATCTGCAGAGTTTAGCTGCCTTATTATTCTTTTTCTGTTGTTTGCTTGCTGTATCCCTTCTTCTGTTGTTTGGTTTCTTCGTCTGCTCTTCTGTTGTTCGTTTTCTTTGTCTCTTTTTGTTTGCTTTATATTTTTTTCCGTTGTTTGTTTTGTTTATCTGTTTTTGTTCGCTTTACCTCTTTCTCTGTTGCTGGTTTCTTGTATCTCTTTCTCTTTTGCTCTTTCTTTATATCCCTTTCTCTTATTTTCTTGGCTGCATTTGTGCGAGTTTGTTTGCATGCGCTCATTTCCTTGTTGAGTAGAAGCCCTTCTCATTTATTCTGATGTTTGTTTGTTTGCTTATTTGCCTCTCTTCTTCTTGTTTTGCCTTTGATTTTATTTTTAGAGTACTGAGCGACCTTGGCTGGGAGGTGCGGCGGGTGTTGTGGTTTGAATGGGTTGGCCTCGAGGGGAAACAGCAGAAGATAGAATTCCTCCGGTACTTTGCTGCTGGTGCTGCTACTGCTGCTGCAGCTGCTGCGGTTTTGCTGCTGGTGCTGCTACTGTTTGCTGCTATTTTGTCTCTGTTTGCTCGTTTTTGCTTGTTTTTGTGTTGTTACTGCTGCGGAGCCCTGCGGGGCGGGGGCTGCATGCATGCAGTTTGTCCGCGGCAACAGCAGCTACAGAAACAACAGCAACAGCAATAGCTGCGTGTGGGTTCTGCTGCAGCGAGCTGCGTGCTGCCCCAGCCCTTCCCTCTTTCTTGCCGGATCCTCTGCCTGCACTGACACCAGAGGAAGTGCAGCAGCGTTTGCAGCAGGTAAAGCAGCGGCAGCAGCAGGAGCAGGAGGAAGCAGCAGCATTAGATAGGGGCTCTCTTGTTGAGCTGGACTTGTGAGCCAGCAGCTGCTTCTCCGCAGCAATGAAAACTGCCCACTGGCAGGGGCTGCTGCTGCTGTTTACTGCAGCACCAGCTGCTGCACCTGCAGCTGCTTCCACTGCAGCAGCAAGTGCTGCTGCTGGAACTTTCATCTGTTAAGGTTTTTGAGAGAGGACTTCCGATAAAGAAAGCAGCAGAGGCCGCAGCAGCAGCAGGCAGCTGCCGCTGCTGCGCAAGTGCTGCTGCCGCTGCTTCGCGGCTGCTGCTGCTGCTGCCACAGCCTCGCGGCTGCGGCCGTTGCTGCTGCTGCTGCTGCAGCATTGGAATGTTATGCATTTCTGCATTTAGTGTTAAGGTGTACGTGCCTCTCTTATTCTCTTTCTTGTCAGCGCTCCTGCCCCCGCGGCTAGCTGTACTGCCTTTGGGGTATTTCCCTGTCTTTGTTTGTTTTTGTTTCTGCTTGTCTCTGTTATGCTGCCTTTGCTTTTGTTTGTGTCTGTTGTTGTTACTGCTCGTCTCTGCCGCTGTTTCTGTTTGTCGCTGTCTCTGGTTGTTTCTTCTGTCTCTGTTTGTTCCTGTTGTTATTGTCTATGCCTTTCTGTCTATTTTTATTTCTATTTTTGTCTTTCTGCTTGCTTCTGTTTCTTTCTTGCCCTTGCATGCCGACTATCAAGTGCTGCAGCTGATGCTGCTGCTGCTGCTGCTGCTTAAAGTCTCCCGCTGCACAGCTGCACTTACACCGCAGCTAAGGAACGTCTGCGACAGAAACTTGCAGAATTTAAACAAACGACAAACAAAAAGGGCTACAGAAAGTCATCTAAGTTGTCTTCTTCCTCCTCCTGAGGCTGCTGCTGCAGCTGCTGCTGCAGTTGCTGCTGCTGCTGCTGCAGTTGCTGCTGCTGCTGCAACTGCTGCTGCTGCTGCAACTGCTGCTGCTGCAACTGCTGCTGTTGAATTTGCTGCTGCTGCTGCAACTGCTGCTGCTGCAGCTGCTTCTGCTCACTCACAGGCAGCTGATGCTGCAGTGGTGTCGGTGCTGCTGCAACAGCAGGCGGCAAATGAGCGGCAGCAGCACCAGCAGCAGCACCGCTGGCAGCAGCAGCTCCAGCTGCAAAAGCAGCTCCATCTGTTGGCGCACCTGCAGGCCAAGCTGGTGCTGCTGCAGGCTGCTGCTGCTGCACTACGTGCTGCATTGGTTGCTGCTGAAGCGTCGGCAGCATCTGTTGGTGCTGCATTTGCTGCTGCTGCTGCATTGGCTGCTGATATTGCTGTTGCTGCGCCCTAAGCTGATGTGTCGGTTCATGCTGCTGTTGCTGCTGAGGCAGGAGCTGCTGCTGGTGCGCCGTTTGGGTGTGCGCGTGCTGTGGAGGCATCTGCGCCTGCTGCTGCTGCTGCAGCTGCTGCACTGTCTGCTGTTGCAGCTGCTGCTGCTGCCAAGAAAGTGATTGCTGCTGCGGTAGCGCCGCCGGCAGCGATGGCTCGTGCTGCTGCTGCTGCTGCTGTTGGTGCTGCTGGTGCTGCATCTGCTGCTCTTCCGCTGCAGCAAAGCCAGCAGGTAAGGATGGCTGCTGCTGCTGTAACTGTTTTATATCTCCCTTGGCTTCCAGGGCAGCAATAAAGGCTTCAGCGTCTGCTGCTGGTGCTTCCCCTGCTGCTGCAGCAGCAGCAGCATCAACGAACTCCAGCTGCTTCTCTAAGCCGTGCTGCTGCTGGTGGTACTGCAGCGCAGCTTCCGAGAGGAAGCAGCAGCAGCAACCGCTGAAGCTGCAGCAGTAAAGACCCATCGATGCGCCGATCTCTTCAGCCCCCTGCAGCGGCCTGCTGCACCTGCATCAGCCGCAGCAGCAAAAATACACAAGAGCAGCGCTGCAGCAGCAGCGGTAGCAGCGCAGGGAAACACACAGAAGTGCCGCGACAGCAACAACAGCAGCAGCAGATACAACAGCAGCAGCAGGAGCAGCAGTAAGCTGTACGTACACTCGGCACTGCCCTGCGGAGAGCATCTGTTCAGTGCAGGAGCTGCAGGCCAGATGGAAACAAGGAAGCTGCAGCAGCAAAACAGCCACAAACCCTAAACCCTGACAGAACCTCAGCAAAGGCGCGTACAGTTCCCGGTTGTCTCTCCTGCTGCAGCTGCTATGCTGCTGCTGCTGCAGAAGCAGAACCCCCTGAAATTTAAACTCGGTGATTGAGGGTTAAGCCGGCAAACCAGGGAAGGTTAAGGATTTAAGTAGTTCTCAGGGTTTCCCCTTGCGAGGTTTAGGGTTTAGGGTTTAGGGGCCCCTCACCGTTCTGTATGTCTGAGCCATGGGCAGTGTGCATACACCGCAGAAGATAGTCTTCGGGTCAGCAACCGAAACCACCTCGTGCTTCAGCTGCTGCACGCGGGGCCGGACTGCAGCAGCAGCAACAGCAGAAGAGCCTCGACCTGCTGCTGGTCCTGCTGTTGCTCCTGCTGCTGCAGAGGGCACAGAAGATCCCCTCCAAAACCCCGCGCTGCGCAACGGCGGTCCAAGCATCTTCGTATGTAGACTGCTCCTCTTGCTGCTGTTGTTGCTGCTCTCGTTGCTACTGCTGCTGCAGCAGCTACTGCTGCAGCAGCTACTGCCACTGCTGTGGCTGCTGTTGCTGCTGCTGCTGTTGCCGTCGCAACTACTCCAGTCTACCACAGCAGATTTTCCATGCTAAGGTGGTGCAGTTGATCCTTGCGCCCCAGCAATGTATTTTATTGCTTCTGCTTCTGCTGCTCCTGCTGCTGCAGCAGCAACCAAACGAAGGGCGGGTGCGTCCTTCCTGGGTTATCCCTCGAACTTGTGATTATCTAAAAAAGAAGAAACATCGCCTCTGTTTATGTTTATCTGCTAAACAAGGCCGCAAGAGAGCTTGCTGCGCGCCTGCATGCATGCATGCATGCATGCATGCTGCTTCCGTTGTCGCTGGGGCTGCTGCCACAGCAGAAGAGAAAAGTGGTAATTGCTCCGTCAGAAAAAAGGACAAACGCGATTTTTATTGTTTATTAAGGGTATTTCCTTCTTTGTGTTAGAAGAAGAGGGGCATACGTTAGTCAGCAGCTCCTGCTGCAGGCATATCGACAGCAGCAGCAGCAGCAGCAGCGAACAGATCGCTGCAGGATAGGAAAGTTTTTATACAGACACCTCCTCGGCGTCCTTCTGGAGAAGGCTCGTACCGAGACATATGCGAATGACGGGCGCGAGGTCTATCTGCAGCTCAGAAGATGCTGTGCACAGGAAGAGTAGCAGCAACAGCAGCAGCAGCAGCTGCTGCTGCTGCACCTGCAAGTGAGGGAGGGGCCACACGGTATTGCATGACAGCAAGCCATAGTACTGTGAGGCTGTGGCGGCAACACAATCGTGCTGCAGCAACATCCGCTGCAGCAAGAACAGCTACGCCAACAGCAGTAGCGGCGACAGCAGCAGCAGCAACAGCAGCAGGGGGTGTCGCCACTTGCAACATCAAAAGCATCTGCAGTGCCTCGCGAGGTGTGTGGCTGAACTACTGCTGCTGCTGCTGCTGCTGCCACTGCAGCAGCAGAAACTGCAGCACTCGCCGTTGGTTTTCCGTACTGCGGGACCCCCAGCCGCTACAGCGCGTCCTTGCAGAACTTTCTGCTGCTGATGCTGCTGTTGAGAAGGCAGCTGATGAGAGCAGCAGCAACAACCTACAAGGCGGTGAGGAGGTGCCTGAGGAGCCCTACTCGTCTTCCTTCCAGGCAGCAGAGGAAAGCTGTCCCAACAGCTACGCAAGCAGCAGCAGCAGCAGCAGCAACAACAGCAGCAAGAGGGTTAAGAGCATCATCGTGGATGCAGGCGATGACAGTGACGGGTCTCCTCCTGTACAGGCGCATGCCGAGATTGTGCTGTCGAAGGAGCAGCAGGAGATGCTTGCTGCAGCAGAGGCTTCCGCTGCTGCTGCTGCTGCAGCAGACAGGCAGCAGCGCTTCCTAGAGTCTGTTGCTGCTGCTGAAACAAAAGAAGGAGGGCTGCGCTCAGCGCTTGAGCAGTCATTTGAAGCTTTGCTACCGCCCCACGTGACTGCAGCAGCAGCACCACCCGCCGCAGCAGCAGCACCAGCGCAGCCTCAAGCAGCAGGGGGAGCAGCAGCTGCAACAGCAGCAGCGGAAGACGAAGGAGGTGGTTTTATTTGGAATGATGCAGAAGAAGGAAGCCTCACTCCTGCACAGCGGTTTTACAGGGACAATCGGGAGCTGCTGCTGCAGCGTGCTGAGCAGTATCTGCGGGGCAAGCACGCAGCAGCAACAGCAGCAGCAGCAGCAGCAGAGGCTGGCGATGCTGCTGCTGCTGAAGAAGAGGAGTGGGACGATGCTGCAAGGACGCTTGAAGAGGATTGGAGAGCATATTTCAATCCCGTATATAAGCAGCCAAAGGGCTTCAGGTGGCCAGTTGCCGATACACCTGAATCTGCTGCAGCTGCTCCTGCTGCACCTCCAGTGTACGCGACCTTGCAGCCACAGATCACAGCGCAGTGTGCGCTGCGTTTGCCGCTCTTTCAGTACGAGCAGCAGTAACAGCAGCGTGGCAGTAGCCCCAGCCGCGCATGCATGAGTCTCAGCAGCAGCCGCAGCAGCAGCAGCAGCGTGTGCATGAGCAGCAGCAGCAGGAACTGCTTGCTGACTGATCTGTTTGGTGTATTGGTGTTTCTCAGGGACATGGAGTTCCGCAAGGGCCAATATCCGTCTTTGGAAGAATTCATGTCTCTCCTTGCGCAGGTACAGCAGCAGCAGCAGCTGCTGCTGCATCAGCAGCAGCAACAGCAACAGCAGCCCTAGCAGCACCAGCAGTTTGAGCAGCCGACTTATTGCAGCTTTGTTGCCCGTAGTCGCTAGTGCTGTGGTTATCGAACCCTGACCTTGATGACACCAGACTGAATTCCCCGCTGCTGTTGCTGCTGCTGCTGCTGCTGCTGTAGGAAGGCGTCAAGGATGTGGTCTGTTTAAATCTCGAGGCTCTCAATCGAAGAGACTTGGGGCTTGTTGCCCTCGTCGGCACTTGCGGAACAGCGGCTCACTGCAGGTTTGCTGCTGCTGTTGCTGCTGCTGTTGCTGTTGCTGTTGCTGTTGCTGCCACTGCGGCTCAAAAAGACCCATGCATCGTGCTGCATTTTGCAGCAATGGGTTGGCGTGTTGTTTGCACGGACAAACCCGTGCTGCTCTTGCTTTTCTTGCTGCTGCTGCTGCTGTTGTTGTTGTTGGTGGCGCTGTTATTGTTGCTGCTGTTGCTATCGTTATTGCTGCTGCTGTTATTGTTGCTGTTGTTGGTGCTGCTGCTGCCGCTGCTGTGCCTGCAGGAGAGTGGCGCGGTTGCTGCGGTCGATAATAAAGTCCCTGGAAATACCACTTGTCTCTGACAGCTGCAGCAGCACGAGCGGCAGCACAAGGCGGAACACTGCACGGAGGAGCAGCAGCAGCAGCGAGTGGTTTGTTGCCTGCCTCGGTCCAGTGTCTGTACACCTCATGACAGCACCAGCAAGAGATTTCTATGAGTGCGTTTGGGTAGCTGGTGCTGCAGCCGTTTGCTTTTCTTGTTTGTCTATTTGTCTTAGTTGGCGCTTGCTGCTGTGGCTGGAATGGCTGCTGCTGCTATTGTTCCTCTGCAGCGGAAGCTAAACGCAGGCATTGTTTTTTGTGTCTGCTGCATGCAGCGTGGAGCGCGTGTGGAGCAGCAGGAGCGCGCAGCAGCAGCAACAGCAGCAACAGGAGCACGAAGGGTTTGATGAAGATTTGCCGCTACTGCCACCAACTGGCAAGCAAGGAGATGAGTTGCAGCAACAGCAGCAACTGGTGCTGCAGCAGCTGCAGCAGCTGCAGGAGAAACACAAAGAGCAGTGTCCATGATTCATTTCATAGCAACAGGCAGTGCCTACACGCTTGTGTTTGCTCATGCTGCCTGCAGCAGCAGCAGCAGCACAAACAGCAGCAGCAACACAAAGGGCAGCAGCAGCAGCCAATAAACTCTTTTCACGTTGCAACTCAAATAATTATATTCTTTTTTTTTGGGGAATCAACGCAGCAAACCTTTATATGGGGTCTTATTGGGAGCCAGCAGCACAGGGTCTACGATCGCCTCTGGTTTTCTGTTGTTGTTGTTGCTGCTGCTGCTGTTATTTGGCGCCATTTCCGCTTCTCCTGTTTGTTGTACTTTACTGCTTGATGCTTGCTACTGCTTTTGGTAGTTTTGCACTATTTGCTGCCGCTGTTCGCTGTTGATATTCGCTGTCATTTGTTGGTGATGCGTGGTGCGGTTTGTTGCTGCTGCTGTTTGATGCTGTGGTTCGTTCCTTGGTGCTGTTTGCTGCCATTGTGTGCTGTTGTTTATTCCTTTGCTGACGGTCGCAGCTGCGGAGGCTGTTCAAAGATGCTGCCTTCCTGGCTGCTTGGTTCTTGCTGCGGCTGCTCTGTGCCGCCTGCTGCTGTTTGCCGTTGGTGGTTGCTGCTGCTGCTGCTGCAGCAGCGTGCGCTGAGGGCTAAAGGAAGCAACAGATTCACTGTTTCGTTGATCTTCTGCTGCGCTGTCTATACCTTTGTCTGTACACTGCAGGCGCTAGACTTAAACCATCAAAGGAGGATGTCTGTACAGCCCGAACAACTAACTGGCACGACTCCCGGCAACGGTCTTGAAGAATTTGTCTGTAATTGTCTTTAATTTTTAATGAAATATTTCCGCCATCAATCAGGAAAGCTGTGGGAGGGGGCGGCACAAGGGCGTCTAGCTCAAATGGTAGAGCGCTCGCTTAGCATGCGAGAGGTAGAGGGATCGATACCCTCGTCGTCCAGATTGGGTTTAATTAACAGCTTAGATAAGAAACATGCGATTTTAATTATTTGGTGTATCTACCGAAGAAAGACTTCTGGGCACGTTTCTGGATATTCGCAAAGCCTCGTGAGGCCTCTCAGTTTGGCTCGAAGTGCGTGTGTATGTAGCTCAGCTATTAGCTATTCACTTACACCAACAAAGTAGCAGAAAACCCCCTTTTACATATTGCTGCTGCTGCCTATGCCGTGCTAGCTGACCCGAAACTCACAACGCCACTTGCTGCTCTCCTCGCGTCCTTTTTATATTCAAGTTTTGCAGTTGTGAGAGTGTTTAGAGCAGCCAACTTCTTCCAGCAAAACCCAGCAAAAACCTGCTCACCTAAAGGCCGCCTTAATGTGATACAAGCGACAAGAATCGCTGCTGCTGCGGCGCGCGCACCAGCAGCAGTAATATCATAAGATCAGCAGCAGCAGCAGTAGGGGCACCAGCGGTAGCTGTGGCATGCCTGCTGCAGCGGTAGCAGCAGGCATGCCACTCTTGCAAAACACCTCTGTGAAGACCCATCTTCTGCATAAACACCGAGCGGTTCGCCCATTTATGCGTTTCTCGTGTTCTCTCCAACAACGTTTTTGCTTCACCTGACAGCAAAGAGACCCGTGGGGCTGCATGCATCCAGAGGTATTTGCAGCAACTAGACGGTGCTGCCACTGGCTGTCTCAACAGCTAGAGCAGGCGCATTTGCATCAGCTGTGCCAAAAAGTGCTGCTGCAATTCCAGCAGCAACTGCTGCTGCTGCTGTTGCGCAACCGCCAGCTGCCACTGCTACTGCCATATTCAAGGATACCGACTACCGCAGCGGGCCCTACTGCATCTGCAGCAGCCTAAGTGCCTATTCAGAGTCATGCTCCTCTTGCTGCTGTTGTTGCTGCTGCTGCTGCTTATGGTCTCTGCGGGTTGTGTATCTGCGAGGAAAACTCATGAGGAAGCCCCCGGGGGCTCTCAGTATTTCTCGTTCTCCCTGGCGTCTGTGGGCCTCTCGCCGCTCCGCTGCAGGAGAGATGAGTGCCTCTGCCCCCTCAGACCCTGTTGCAGCTCCTGCTTTTGCCGCTGCTGCTGCAGTTGCTGCTGCTGCGTAGATTTGATCTGGAAAGCGTAGGAGTGGCTGGAAGATTGGGTCCTCGTAGCAGAGCGTCAACTGCGTCAGACAGGCAGTGAGAGCCGTCTCACATTTAAGTACTTTGTCTGTCAGGCGAAAGGGCAGACACCGCAGCTGCTGCTGCAACAACTCCATCTCAGACGGTATCCAGCCGCCCTCAGGACCAACAGCTAGCAGTACACCCGTCCGCTGCTTCTGCAGTTGCTGCTGCTGCTGCTGTTGCTGCTGTTCCCCCCGCTGGTCGTCTTGCTTTTGCTGTGGACTAACTGCTTCAGCAACAGGCCGTAGCTGCAGGGAACGCATGAAAGAAAGACAAATGCCCCCTAACCAAGAAGCCACTGGACGCGCGCATGCAGCAGCAGCAGCAGCAGTAGCAACATCAAAGCAAAGAATTCAAAACTCACAAGTAGTTGGGGAAGGGTCGCCTCCGTGTGCGGGTGAGCGACTAGCCGCAGCGGGGGAAGCAAATAATGCGCAAAAGCGCCAGCATCTTCAGTGGGTCTTGTTGTTTGTTCTTTCCTCTCCGCGTCCGCTTCTTGCGCTTCTTCTGTTGCTGCTGTTGCTGCTGCTGCTGCTGGGGACGCTTCTGCAGCAGCAGTGGCCGCCAGAAAGCCCTCCCACGAAGCAAACGCATGCAGCTCGGGGGGGCGGGTAACCATTCCTTGTTCTAAGCCTGTGGGTGCGCAAAAGGAACTAAAAAAATAATATGAAGAAGCAGCCCCCTGCTGCTGCTTCTGCTGAGCCGTGTGCAACACAACTGTCGACGTTGCTGCTGCTGCTGCTTTCGTTTGCTGCCACGTAATAGCCGGCGCAGCAGAAGAATATTTCCCCTTCCAAAGGGGTAGCACCGAATGAACCACCAGCAGCAGCAGGAGCAGCAGCAGCAGCAGCAGAGCGCAGCAGCAACGGCTCACCCAAGAGCAGCTGTTCCAGGAGGTTCTCAGCAGCCAATCGAGAAGAAGAGAAAAACCCCTTCTCCGTCCGCGCAGCACAAACCAAAAATATTCGTCGAACCCCCACAACAGCGCAGAGCTGCAGCACACAAATACAGCAACAACCATGCAGGCCTTGTGCATGTACTCTACAGAATACAAGTCCATATAGGTATATATGAGTGTGTGCATGCATGCATGCACGTATGTTATGCACGTTACACATGCTATGAATGTATGTATGCATGCACGTATGTATGCATGTTTGCATGGGTGGATGTATATGTATGCATATGTGCTTGTGCTTATGTACTTATGCATACTTATGCATATATATGCATGCATGTATATGCTTGCATGTACATGTATGGACGCATGCATCCATTTATAGGTATGCATGGATCGAGGCATGCACACCGCCTGCGCCCCTAGCCTCAACAACAACAGCAGCATCAGCAGCAGCAGCCGCTGCTGTTGAATCCACGGGTTTTACCTGCAATATGCGTTCGAGCACCTTAGGGCGCGTCATTGCGAGGAGAAGGTCCACCTCAAGGTTCTCCCAAGGCGGTTTAGCATCTACCCTGAACAAACACACGCAGCAAGCAGCATGCATGCATGTATGCGGACGCAGCATCTACGCAATCCTCTTTAAAGGAGCTGCATACAGCAAAAATGCACTATATTGAGCAGCTCGTGTGCCATGTATGTTCACCGTAATTATTAAGATATTTCGATGCAGCGGCCAGCAGGCAAAACCTAAACTAGCTGCCTGCGTGCATGCTCCAGCACCTGTAAGCAGATGTGATGCATGCATATATATACATATATGTATGGACTGTATATATGCAGCATCTTACAAGTCCATTCGCTGCAGTAACTTGAGCTGAGTCTGCTGCGCCTCGCAGGAGACCACCTCGGCCTCCCCCACTCCCGCAGCGGCCACCCCAACACGCACGCGGCTGCCAACCTGCAGCAAAAATAAGTAATTCTTTTTTACGTGTAATCTCATTGCACTCAGCTCTCCGCAGTGTACATATACCGCTTTGAGGGGCTCAACCAGGCAACAGCCAATATATATATATATATATATATATATATATACAAAGGAAACGCATTAGACGAACTAACCACTCCTTGCGCGTGCTTGGGAGAAGATAGAACTCATAAGAAGGATACGCAGGCAGCTCTGCTGTGGAGAAGGTGGAGAGGTAGAAAGAGGAAAATCGAAAGGAGGACAGAGGCAGAGGAAGACATATAGGTAGACAGACCAACAGAAGGAAAAAACGCCCAAGAGGGTTTTGAGTAAAGCCCGCAAGCGGCCAGCATATACACCCGCGCAACGTAAGACACACGAGTCAAAGAAAACAAAATAAACGAATAGAAGACCTGCAGAAGAGGCTAATCGAAACAAGAGAAGAGTATATGAATACGGCGGCATATAATCAACAACAGCAACAACAGCAGCAATGAGGAAAGAAAACATTTCAGTCAGCTTATAGACGCACCCCAACCTTCAAAACCTGCTGGCAGTGACGGTGGCGGCGGCCTTTGAGGACAGCAAACGCCTCGCCGCCCTCCACTACGAGGTCCTCCTTGTGCAGCAGAATGAGATTCATCTTAGATATTTTCAGTAAGAAGACAAGTCAAAGCAAGAGAAAGGAATATGCATCAGCAATCAATGCCACAAATGAAGATATGCAAAGCGGAGGCTTTAAAAACCCAATGATCGCAGAGATGGAGAACGGAAAAATTCAACTTCATAAAATATGAAATGCAAAACACTGAACGGGGCAGGCAGCAGCCAACAGCCAGCTGCTGCCTTTCAGGTGTCTGTCATCGTATTCGTATTAAAACCCAACAAATAAATAAAAACATATTTCATTAACTAGAAACAAAACATTTCTTCGTTCCATGAGCTGCGGAAGTCAATCGGAGTTCGTCGCTCTTATCGAGGCCGGCGCGACAAAAAGAAGGAAGGAAGATATACATTTGAATTATTTAAATAAAAAATTCCAAATAAATTAAATCTTAAATTCTCTAATCATTTTTCAGAAAAAGATGAATTGCCGCTGTGGGGCCCCAGACGCCCGAACGCTGCATGCGATCGGGGCCCCCAAGGCCCCTTTAGCTGCAATAGCTTTGAAATGCCCTTCTCTTATTCGCCTTTTCTTGCTAATCCATATTCGGACAGTAATATGACGTATCCGTTAGGATCAATAAGATGGATGTGTAACAGTGCAAGACAATTTATATATATATGCATATATATATATATATATATATATATATATTGGAATACATACAGACCCAGAAGAAATACATAAATGTATATATATGTAGCGTGCATATATCAAATATATACTTAATAAGTATACATTGGTGGCCTAGATATGGTGTGTTGGCTTGTGTGTGTCGCTGTGTGTGTGTGTGTGTGTGTACAGCGATTTAGTTGTTTTGCTTGTGCATAAGCTGTGCATTGCATGGTTATGCTTCCCTGAAAGTTTGTTGGAAAAAACCGCATGGGTTTCTCTTTTTGGAATCTTGGCTACAGTTTTGCAGGGAGACAACAGAGGAGATGTGCGTAAGATTTGGTGTTTAAATTCCGGAACAAACAACTAGTGTCTGCAGTGTTTTGTTCACAAGGAAGAAGGTTCTCCAGAGCTGCTTACTAAAGAAACCTTGAGAACAACCTTACGTGGGACTGCTTCAGTGTATCGTTTCATTTCCGAGTTTACATCACCGGCCTTTCGGTAGGTGGATATGCATCTACTCTTCGCCCTTCTGACGCCAAATATAGCGTGCACTATGCATAGTACTCAGCAGTCGTTGCCGTGTCTAGCCTGTTTGATCTGATGGTGACAGATCTATCTGTGCACTTCAGAGATACAATATTCCAAGATAGTAGGGAACCCAAGTGCTGCAGCAGACAACACGGCGAGCCTGTTTGCATGAATATACGACGACAAAGAAGGACCCGCCCTATCTTGCCCCTTTACTGTGCCGCTTCGGCGTGTTCTGGCCTGCAGAGGGCCTTATATAAGGTTAACTGGAGGTACAAACAGCACATTCCTCGCTACTGTCTCCACTTCTTTTTCCTTGTTCGCTGCCGTTAGTTGTTGCTGCGTCATTAAGGCTGCTAAGCTAGTGTGCTGTGCTGATGTGCAGCTCGGCGTTGTTTGCTTGCGAAAGTTTCTAGTATTCGTGCAGAATGCACAATTACCAGTTGCCTTTGACTGTAGTTGGGGGCAGAGAGCTGCCCGTAACATTATCATGCTTTCAGTTTCTGCTCGCACCTACATCCAATGCTGTCTCTATATGCAGCAACAGCTTGCAAGCGCAGACGCACCAGCAACTGCTGGTACACCCGCAAAGCCTGGAAAGGACAGTCAATTCCTCCCCGAGGCAGAAGCGGTGCCGTTGCTGCTATAGATTAGCACCGAATCATGTACCTGTCATGGCCTCCGTGCTGCTGCAACAGCAGCACCTACTCTTGAAGCATATGCATGCCCTCAGGCTCCCCTGGAGGCATGCATGGCGACTGCAAAAGGTATGCATATTCATTTGCCAAGGCCTCACAGCTACGCACAAAGCAGCTGGCAAGTCAACTGCCTCGAATGCATGCATGATACACGTGCACGAGGCGTTAGTTTTTTGGGGTTGCAGCAGCAGTTGGCTGCTGCAATTCAGCAGTTATTCACTGCGTCTGCACCTGCGCTTGCTGGCCACCACTGCCTTCGCTCTGAAGCCCGTCCCGACCCGTGCTTTTGATGCTGCCGCTGCTCCCGCTCTGCCGGCCATCCGGGTTCCCTGTAGATGCCTGCTCGCTGCAGCAGGGGTGCTGGTGCAGGTGTAGCCGCACTAGGCTATCTTTGGGCAGCGTTTCTGCACTAGCAACGACTGCTGATGATTCGCTGGCCATTTGTTCTGCTGCTGCTGCTGCTGCAGCTGCTGCAGCAGCGTACCTTATGCTGCGCTTGAGCTGCAGCGCGGTAACAGACACAGAGGGAGGAGGGTCGACATATAGGCATCTCTTGCGAGATATAGACCAAAGAAAGAGATGCATAAGGAAGCAGCAAAGGAAAATGGACGCCAACACAATCATCGCCTTCAGTGGCTCTGAGAGGCAAAACACCTTGTACACGTACCCTACTCCTCCTTGCCCGTTGGGCACTTTGAAGAGAAAGACACAGAGCTGCAGCACCAGGTAGCAGAAAAATAAAATTATCGTGTAACCCATATGCCGCATTGGGCAGGGTATTCGGGAGAGAAGCGACGCATGCAACAGTGTAAGCAAGACCAACACTGAGTGCTTCCACACTGTAACCCAAGATCCAGGGAATTGAACATCTTCAGCCTTAAAGAGAGAAAAGAAGACTGCAGCAACGCCAAGTGATGCTACCAACTGCAGATTGTGAACTACCCACGTCACTTTCACGAACCATGGCACATCCACGGGTGCTGCTGCTGTGGAGCCGCTTCTTTGTGATGCTGCTGCAGCTGCTGCTGTTGCTGCTGCTGCTGCTGCTTGTGCCTCTGATTCCATCGACGCGGAAGATACCGCGTTTCTGCTCCCTGTGGAGCAGGTGGGCCCGCTGTCTGCTGCTCCGGAGGACCAGGCCGTGAGAGCGTGCGCGGACACGCAAACTGGTGGGGAGGAGCGGTTGCGTTGCTGCCTGTCAACAGCTCTCTTTCGAGCTAGTCGTCTGCTAGCGCCCGTCTCACTTGCACTTGCTTGCACTCGCGAAACGCACTTGTTGCTCGGGTTCGGGGCCAAGAGGATCCCCTCAACGCAACATCGACTGTCAGCCATGAGGTCTCGGTACCCTTGCAGAACCAGGCATAAGGCCCGCGAATCGCGCGGCTGCCGCTGCTGCTGCAGCAGTTGCTGTCGTTGCTGCACCAACCACGGGAGGAGCGCAGCTTTGCTGCTGCTGTACGTCGGACGTGGATGCCGACCGTCCACAGCAACAAACTCTAGAGCTGAAAACCCCAAGCTGCAGGTGCTGCTCTCTCGGGAGGCGACATTTGGGGCATTCGGCTGAATATAGTTGAGCGAATACGTTGGAGATGCTTCTTCCACCGAATTCATCAAAACCTGTGTTTGCCTCTGCTGCCGCTGTTGCTGGTACTGCTGCGGTTCTGGCGGTAGCTGCACGTGGCGCCTGCGCGGTTGCTGCTGCTGCGGGTCGCTCGTGCTGCCCGAACAGGGCTGCAGGGGAGCTGCGAAGCTCATGCATGCAATGATGGAGGTGATGGTGAGGGAAAGGAATCCGGCAGCCACGAGAAGACTGTTCCAGTTCGTGAAGTAGAGCATTTGCGCTTTGCCCACTTCTTTGTACCCCTGAATAGAGGCGAAACACTCAAGCACCAGAACCGTAATGCAGCAGAAGGTACGCAAAAGAGTCAGAAACGCGGGATCTATTGCGTTTGGAAAGTACGAGCAAACGAAGACCTGTCGCCAGTCTCGCTGGTGAAGATCAACCTTCCAGAAATGCCGCAGCTGTTTCAACTCGTACAACAAGTGCTCTCTATACGGAGGCACGCGGATGGCCAGAGGTATGTTTTTCAAGTCTGGCAAGTCAACCCCCACTACTCCTTTTGCCTCTTTCTCCCGCAAAGAACCGTCAGGGCTCTCGGGGGGATCCCCTGATAGGGAGGAGCACTCAGAGTTGCCGGCCTCAGCTGCAGCTAGCGAAATTTCTGCTGCTGCTGCTCTGGCCACTGCACCAATCACCGCCTCCGTCGCTGCATTTCCTACGCCATAAGCGTCGGAGTTGTCGAGGTGAATGGTGCAAAAAGAGGGCGGATGGGGTGGCGGTTCGTGCGCCTGCGCCCCATGGGGAAGAGAAACGTGCTCCAGGGAATGGGGAGCCAGCTGCTGGTGCTGCTGTTGCACCTGCTGCTCATGAGAGTCGTGCTCGATATGCTTGCGGTGCTTTTGTGCTGGGACAGAGCTGATGTATAGAGACCCTATCTTCGCAGCTTCCGAATGGCCAGAATCCGTAGCAGCGCCTGCAGCTGCGTCCGCCGCCACAGCTGCTGCAACCTGAGCGTTTTTAGCATGCACGTGGGCACAGAGGCCCATAGTCACAAGGTAGCAACCCTCGTTGCTGCTGTTGCCATGTGCAGCACGAGATGTGTTGCTGAGAACCGACCGGGAACCGGGGGAGCTCGCTGCTCTCGACTCCAGTGCCTGGGGCTGTATGGAAGCAGGAGAACCAATGTGCCTCTCTGAAGGAGAAGTGGCCGCAAAATTTGCTGCACCCGCTGAAGCCATCTTGAGGAGGTGTTCAGCAAAGCGCGTTGTTAGCGGTGGGTGACTCTTGCAAGGGCAGCGCTTGCGGGTTCCGCGCGTGAGTCAAAGAAAACAAACAGAAGGTGTTTATAGTACCTGTCTGGCGATTTAAAAGTAAGGCTGCATTGTTTCAGCAAACATATTCAGAACAGACGTTGAAGTTGCAGCAAGACGCGCAGGAAGAAGCGCGAGAGAAGACGATGAGAGGACCATTCGTTCTTTATTTAGTTCTTGGCGGTGACCTTGGCAGCCCACCATAGCTTCAAGAATTACAGACCATTAAACAGACAAATCAGCGTGCGAGCGAAATGCGAAACCGATTGCTGTTCTACGAACAGAAAAACTGCTCGTCATTGCCCCCTTCAGCGGCCCTGACGCCCAGAGGAGTGGTCTGGCGACGCAGCAGCTGGTCATCAGCCCGCTACTGGTCCACAGCGGAGCAGCTGCCTGCAAAATACCCCCAACAACATTGAAATGCTATTGTTTCAAGTGAAATGCCAGTTGTTCATTTTGTTAATTACCTCATTTTCTCCATGCTTCTTTTTTTGCAGGCTAGGTAAGCCCTTCTGGGGAGTGAGCGCGCTGTGGTGGGGGCGATGCTCTAGACGTAGCACCCCTGTTTCCTTTTGGAAGTGGAAGTCATATGAAAGCATATTTTTAATGGACACTTTCGAATTATTTTACTGTTGTTATTTAATAGCTGCTTCGTCTTTTCATTCCCTTGGGGGGCGGGGCGTTCTCTTGCTGAGGACAGTATATGCAAGTGTGTCCAGCGACTGCCCTACCCTTAGCGGAGTGGAGACGGAGTTGAACAGTTTGAAAGTTGGCCCACTTGGCCATAATCGTATCTTCGTACAGCCTAATTAGCTTATATAAACCGTGGAGGGGTAGAAACTATGACAAGTTGATTGCCGTTCCTGAGTGCTGGCACCTGCAGCCCGAAGGGAGGATAAATTCACTTTTATCGTTTGGCAGTAATTATTTCCTCCAGCTAGTCACGCATACATCTCGGAAGGCAAAGACAAAGCACACAAACAACACTAGAAGGATGAACCACCCTAGCCGCCTATTATTGTTCAAGTGGCACGCATATGCATCCGAAGATTGCAAAGGAACCTCGTTCGTTCCGGATGATTGCCATCGGCACCCCATCTCACCGCTACTTACATTTCTCTTCTTTTCATGCCCTGGAGAGTCATCCCTTGTTCAACCTGGCTTCCTTCCTATGAGGTGCATTTGTACCGTAGTTGGATGCCCCGCATCAGGCATGCGTTGACGGAATATTCTACCCTTCGTGATCGTCGTACAAATTCAGTATAGGATTTTCCACAGCCATTTGACGATGAAGACATGAAGAGACTTTGCGTGCTCCACTCATCCGCCTAAGGGTGTGCTCGGACACCCCTAAAATACCTGACGAGTTCCCTGTTTGCACACACGAGCGACTGAGCCGCACTGCAGAAATTCCTCAATATTCAACATCTGTAGGCGGGCATGCACCCTGTGGTGCTAAAATACACTGGGATGGGCCCACGTCATAACTAGTAACTATCTGTCAGTGCAGGCTGGCATCCAGCTCCCGCCCTCCTGCCAGACGCACTCGCTCGGCTTCATCTGTGGTGTGCTCCTCAAAAGGACGTGCAAGCTGTTCATTGAGCCGCTCTGTTTCACACAGACCGGCCAAACGTGATGCTTAGGTAACTCATGTTCCTGTGCCTCCTTTACGATGTAATGATAGACAACATGCGTTCCTTTGAAGCAAGTTCCGCGGCTCATGCCGCTTCACTACCCATTACTCACCTTTCTGACATTTGGGGTTGGCTCCAATTGTCAGAAAGGTGAGCAATGAGTGGGAGCAACCTCAGGGCACAAAGTAACTATCTACCCATTCCTAGCAGTAGCGATCGAACTTCGGCCACCTTGCATTGGGGCTAGCTGCCGCAGCTGGCTGCCAGCGATGACACTGCCCCTGCAGAGCTGTTGTATTATGTGCTAGCCTCGGGCCCCTCACTTTTGGGGCAAAAACACAAAGTAATTTCTGTTAGCGAGCGCATACGCTCAAGGCGAACTGGACGTTCGGGGCCTTACCAGTAGGCCCCGCTCGGCCAAATCCGCCTGGGGGTGCAAACGTATTAAACAATTCAGTCCGCAAGTCTTGCAACATTTCATTCCTTCTTGCCACCCTTGAGAGCAGCAGCGCGCTGCTGAGCGAAGTGACGACGGCCTAAACACAGAAAATGTAGGATCACCCGAACCGCAAACCCATTCAACAGGGGGTATCCCCAGAGTCAAGCATTCCACCTTGCCCACGACAATATCGTCAACAAACAAAGCAAAACGTGAACTGTACTTGAGCCAGTACATATGGGAGTGGCCCAACCAATATCTGTGCAGGCCTGTTGCACTCTCGATGCCCCATAGCTAAGCGAGGTAACGAGGAATGTTCGTACGAGATTGTGACAAAAAGGCCTCAAGGGCTCCTACTAATGACGTACCGAGGAACTTCAGGAACTCGTCAAGGATAATAATCGGGAAGGACCAAAGTAATACATACACCCAGTCCATCGCCGAAAGCTCTACGACACCGAAGACACGGCGCTGCAGCAGAAAATACGCATGCGGGGCAGGCCATCATGTAAAAGTGGAAACAAACAGGGCTTCCCTAATTTTTGTTCCCTCTGCTGTCACTGCGAATGACTTACAAGGAAGGGGATGTACAGGATGGCGCAATGAACGATGAGGGAAGAAGCAGTCGCCAGGAGTAGGTACGGGTTTGCCTGAAGCGCAATAACCTCTAAAACCTACGACGACACTGTAGGCGAAACTATACACGGTGCGTTGGGACCTATACGTTCCAGTGGCCACCACATCCCAAAAGCGTGAAGCCTACACTACTCAAGTTGCTTGAATTTAGGACTAAGACAAGGATGGGATTAATATTGACTTAGGTTCTGACATTCCTTACCCAAGGCGGCATACGCAAGAGGGAGTGATTCTCAGAGAGGGCATTAAATGCATTGAACATTTCAATAACGACCAACACTGTTAGACTAAGGGTGCTGGCCTGCAGGAGATCAGAAGACAACAAAAAATGCAAAAAGCCTTGAGGTACCTCAACGCAATGCAACCAATGCGCAGACGCTGCGACGCCCAATCGATGGGGCAAATGCAAACCCCTGACAAGAAGGATGACCCTGGATTCCGCTAGAACTAAGAACGGCCGCTGCCTGTGGTGTGTGCCCTGACCTTGGCCTTGCCGATGGTGAAGTACGAACAGGGCTCGTTCTCAGGCATCCCGTACACAGGCACAGGGTTAAAGCCTTTCCACGTGGAGCAGCGACCCCACGCCATGAGCTGAGGAACAGTAAGGAGAGTGTGCTGCTCTGCAGGGTCTGTCCCGAAGACATACCACCACACAAAGATGCCCACTGTTGCAAAACCAACGTAAATCCCAACCAGCAAATACCGCAGGAAGATCCAAGTGCTAATCAACCGGTCATCGCGGTGACGAGGAGGTCGTTTCATCACGTCGTCATCCGCTGGGTTGAAGCCTACAGGAAGAACAAGTACCATACTCGCCTCACCAGTGAAAGGCGGCATCTACTTGTACTGGCGCAACTTAGAGATGGCACAAAGCATAAGTGACCAATAATCACTTCGCTGTTCGTCAGATACAGGTCGTGCCCAGCTCACCGAGAGCAGTAGCTGGAGGCCCGTCTGTCACGAGGTTCACCCACAGAAGTTGCACCGGAGTCAGGCCCTCTGGTACCCCAAGAGCTGCGGTCATGAAGATAGAAGCGACCTCGCCAATGTTGCTGCTAATCAAGTACCGAATAAACGCCTGAAGATCCAGGATGCAATCGCCCATCCAAGAAACCAGTATATTAGAAACATCAAGACAGGCAGGCATGAGACATTCAGATGTAGAGATTTGCACGTATAGGTTAACAACCACCTCCAAGCAACAGCAGCAAGCGGAAAGAGGCCAACATAATCGGAGGAGATAGCCACAGGAGAGCCCGCATTGAAACGCAAGGTGGGGAGGTAGAGCCATAAACCATAATCAGGGGACACATTAAGCCGAAATATTAGTCGCGGTTACTATGCTAACCTTCATGTTGTTGTAGATAGACCTGCCCTCTTCCACTGCAGAGACGATCGTGCTGAAGTTGTCGTCCGCCAGGACCATGTCTGAAGCTTCCTTTGCCACTTCGGTGCCTGCTATGCCCATAGCAACGCCAATATCTGCTTGTTTTAGGGCCGGCGCATCGTTGACTCCGTCGCCCGTCATTGCCGTGGTCTCCCCTAACTCCTTAAGCAGCTTGACTATGAGCTGTTTGTGTTTGGGCTCCGTGCGAGAGAAGATTGCGCCACCCGCTGCAGAGCCCACACACAAAGGCATGCATTCCATTCCTGAACCCGACCAGAGAGCAACTTATCTCTATTTCATCCTTGCATGCCGCCTTTGTCTTTACGAGACAAATGCACTCTAGAGCGACTTACGAGAAGAAAGAACCCTCATCTTTTCTGACGCCGAAAGTGCCTCAAATTCCTTTCCAGTATAGGACGGGAACGTCTTATCGAAGCCTTCACGAATGTGCACCAGATCAGCCACCGCCTCCGCAGTGTCCTTGTTGTCGCCAGTAATCATCACAACCCTTATGCCGGCATCTGCAATCATCAACGCCAAACACTGGATCTCGACGCTTGCACGGCGCAGAAACACCTCACCTCATCCCTCTAAGCGCTCAAATGCTTTGGGCTACTTCGCGCGGTATCGCCTCCAGCTCGAAGCTAGTGACGCGATGTCCATAAATACCACCCCTCCACGTGGGTATTAAAATGACTCATTTGTGAGAAACAGTGCTTTCTTTTCAGCGCCGACGTCTCACCTCTGCACTGCAAGATGGCGCTACCCACTTCTGGCCTCGGCGGGTCGAAGAGCCCTACGACACCGATGAAGCAGAGGCTGCTCTCGAGGGCTGCGTATCCTGCCTGGTCCTCGAGCAGGCTGCGCGAGGCCTGAGTCGTCTCTCCCCCATAGTCAGCAAGCGGCCCCGCATCCAAACGAACAGCCAATGCTAGAGTGCGCAGAGCCCCCCGAGCCATCCCAGCGACGTCCGTCAGAACCACTTTTCGTGCAGCTTCACTCATAGGCACCACGTCGCCGTTCGGGAGCATCATAGTCTCGCACCTGAAAGGAAGCAATAGGACACTTGGGGGCAGAAGCTAAAACTGAATGCAGATTGCGCAAGCAGAAAGCTCTACTCCTCATACAGCTACAGGCACCCTGGGGACCATCTGCTGTGCTCCTGACGCCGCGGCCCACCTTGTTAGAAGAGTTTCCGGCGCACCCTTGACAAAGAGCTCGTTTCTCTTCGTTTTGCTGTTGCGAGACAGAACACTCATGCTTTTCCTGTCCCGGCTGAACTCCAAGGTAGCCAAATCCTTGTATTCGCCTTTCCAATAATCGCTAGACAGCAAACGCACACGCACAATACCCCGAACTCTGCAGAGGTACAAGCCTAAACGCCATGTGGAAGCAGCCTATCGACTCTCGTATCACAGAACTTGACAAGCTATCTTATTAAAGCCTAAACTCAAGCCTAAACTACAGCCAGGCCTCCCGAGTTTAGTGGCTGTCGCCTCTCAACATCTACCGTGGCGAAGTACCAGAAGGGAGTCGGATTCGCAGCTGTGCGCTTCGTGTTTGCTCTTCGGGAGATTTGTTCATCGGAGAAGAGCCCCAGCTTCTCGACAAGAACAAGAAGTGCTGCTTCTGTGGGTTCACCCATGCGCTCGTAGTGGCTCCCTTCTGACGATCCCGGAGCGACATTCAAGTGGGCTTCATTGCAAATGGTTGCGCAACGGCAAAGCCAAGACAGGACTGCCTGGTGCCCAGTCAGCGACTGGGAGCCCTTCGCCCCGCCCCGCATCTCACGAGACACGCTGCCGGTCGCGCAGAAGCCAGTGCCATCAACAGTGAACACGTCGACCTAAGGCCGCACAAAGGCGATAGAGTCCAGCGCACAGACAGATACTGCCACTGTAGATACAACACGCTTGCATCGGAGAAGGAGCATGCAGTCACAACAAAATTAAATAGCAAGAAAACAATACAAGGCACTCGGCACAATCGGAATTTGCACTACAATGCACCTAAGCAGCAGAAACCAGAGGTGCTACGCCCTCACCTCTGTGCTGCTCTGGCCGACAACGCAGAATCTGACGCATGTCATTTCGTTGGTAGTAAGAGTGCCGGTTTTGTCTGAGCAGATGACGGTTGTGCATCCGAGTGTCTCTACACTCTGCAGCCTCCTAACAATTGCATTCTTTTTTGCCATCTTCCGCGTTCCCAAAGCCAAGCAGGTCGTGATAACGGCAGGTAAACCCTCAGGGATGGCAGCCACAGCCAAAGCCACAGCGATCTTGAAGTAATATATGCACCCCCGCAAGGCGCTCCCGTGCACAGCATCGCTGAAGTGCTGAAGACAAAAAACCAATTTACGATTAGTACATCCGATATATGATTACATATATCAACGTAAAGAAGAAATTGATCACTCAATGTATACAAGCCACACTAGTTCTACAGCCTTTGCCTAAATTGTTCCGGCAATGCCCGCCCAATGGAGCTCTCAGAAAGATATCTACATTGGTACATTAAGAATACATACGGTCAATTCATTTCTAGAGCAGCAGCATAGCAGAACAAGCAGCAGTAGAATCAGACTCTGAATCTGGGACTACACACTGTGGGACTGGCGGCTCACTCCGATGTTGATGAGCCACACAACAACACATACGGCGCAGATGACCTTGCTAAGAGCTTCTCCAAACTCGTCAAGTTTCTGCTGCAGCGGACTCTGCGTGTCATCCGACTCCCCAGCCTCATGCACAGCGGCTTGAATGAGCCCGATTTGCGTAGCCATACCGGTCCTCACCACCACTGCAAGGGCCCTTCCCCGCGCTACAGTCGTGCTACTGAAGCACAGGCAACGCTGGGACTGAATTTCGCAGTCGCGCATAGATGCAGGTAACGCCTCCACGTCCTGCAGAGAAACCAACAGCAATCACATCGCAAAAGCAGCAGCAGCACATCCACTGCAGCACTCGGCTATGCTTCCCCACTGCACCTCGTCTTTCTTGCCCTAAGGAACTCATCTATGCCCATCTCAAAACAAAGCCACTTGGTGCACCTCCACACGGTCTATCGGTGCGGTGGTTCGCATAGCCACTAAGGAGAAATTCCAGCAATTGTCAGCCACCCCACTCTGGCAAGAGAGAAGAAGCACAAATTTGCGTTACCTTAAGCACGGCTACGCTTTCGCCTGTGAGTTGACTCTGCTCCACCCTGAAAGATGCCGTCTTAAGTTCCACCACGCGACAGTCCGCAGGCACCTTGTCCCCACAACGAAGGTCCACAAGGTCACCTGGCACTAGCGTCGCGGCTGAAACACAACGCCAGGTGCCTGAGCGGCAGACGCGAGCCTGCTGCGGCTGCAACTGCTTCAAAGCGACAAGAGCTTTCTCCGCGTTGGACTCCTGCACCAGAAGAAACATATAATCACAGCGTTCTAAGACCCGCTGCAGCGCTGCAGAGACTTTGAACAGCAGCAGCAGCCACAGCTGCTGCTGCTGTTGCTGCGCAACCACGGCAGAAAAGCAGGCATTAACAAGCACGCACCTGCCAAACTCCTACGGCTGCGTTGAGGAAGAGAATGATGAGAATCACAAGTGGCTCCACGTACGCCGCAAGACCTCCTTCCCCACCTTCCACAACTGCCAACACGAAACTGACGACTGCGGCCGCCAACAGAATCCTGAAGAGCAAAGCAAACAAAAGAAACATACGACTGACAAAAAGGCACGAAGACGGCCCTAACGTCGTGGCCAAAATAAACGAAGCAACCCAAACCCCATAACTTTGCTAGTTTCAGGCAGAACGCCGCCATGGCGCACAGGCACCACTGAAACGCATGTGGGATCAAGGGAGACGCGTGGGCGGAGGAAGAGGACAGAGATAATATCTAGCGTGACTGAGAAATACACATTTGCACACAAGGCGCTTGCTACCTGACAAGGAGGTCCTGGAACTGCTCCAGGATCAGCTGGAAAAGGCTCTTCCCTTCTTCATGTTGCAATTCATTTGGACCGAAGCGCTCGAGGCGCTCCGCAACGACTTCAGCAGGTAAACCGGATTCCAATGATGTCTCATGGTACTCTAGCACCTGAAAGCACCAGCAACGATAGCACGAGCGGGCATACCTTATCTGACCTGCTGCGGCACCTGCTGCTGCAGCATCTGCTGCTTCGGATGACATCATCACTGCTTCTGCTTCGATGCTCACCTCTTGAACTGTGCAAGTGTGAGGCGCCTCCTGCAGAGACCTGCAGCGGCCCTCAGAAGGGCTTGTGGCCACCATCCCCAGCACACACGCAGGAGGCGAACTGAAAGACAAAATCAGAGCGTGGGGCGGAGACTCGGCAGAGGGAACTCCTCCTCCAGCACCGATGCCTCGTCCCCTCTTATCCTAGAATGGGCTGGAAGACCCAAGCGCGCGCTGCAGCAGCCAGAACAGCAGAACTGTACAAGGAAAGCTGCGAGGCCGCGGGGCCCCAAAAAGCACCGCAGGTGTCGCTCCTGCCTTTGCTTCTCTCTGTAAAGCAATTCCTAACAACTTCGAGGAAGGGGACCTCCGCTCACTCCCGGAGACGGTTCCTGCTGCGGCTGCGGCGGCTGCTGCCGCAAGTCCTGCAGAAAGCGGCGCTGTCGCGCGGCTGCTGCTTGTAGTGCCGGGCACTACAGTAGGCCTGGAACTCTGGGAAAAAGCCCAAAATAATGATAGAAAAAGAACTTGGGGTGAAAACGACCTCAATTACCTATGTATCCTCCAACTGGCTTGCGCCTAAGACCAACAAGACACCGGTGGCAGTTCACGGGGCTGGATAAGCCCGTGTGCACTTTCTAGTCTGTACTGCCTACCAACCTCCCCGTTAGTATCCGTTTGAGTCTGGTCTTCTATGCTATGGACTCTATAACGGAATATTGCGAGTTATTTTTGTGTTATAAAGAACGCATAACTGAATTTCCCCGCGTGTTCAGCCCAACTACCATTCAGTTGCTCATGGGGAAAGTGTAAATATGGGGTTTCGAGACCTGGCAGAGCCGCTCAAAGCGATTCTTCTCGGGTAAGTATCGGCGCTTTGCCGCCCAAGCGTGAAGCATTACTTTTTATCTGAAAGGGTAGGGACTGGAGGAGGAGACTTTGCCGCTGCGCTTCTCGCGAAGGGGCGTGGAATGCTTTTTCCATTGTTGGTAGATGAACGCTTACATGTCATCTGTAGGCAGCCTCCACGAATCCAGAGGCACACAAGTTGTCTGCAAACGCTAGTGCAGACAGCAAATGCTCTTGCAGCGTTACTTGCCAAAAGCTGCGGTGCAGCTTGTGTCGCTTCACCTCCCGCGGCCCTGGCGCCTTGGGCCATCGTCCCCAGGACGTCTGGGGACTGGGAAGCAGGTCATATGTATTTTTGGAACTCTTTCATTAATTGTCTTTTTGGCTCGGTTACAGCTCGCGGAGCTCCTCAGGGGAGGTCTCTCGTTACACCGGGTCCGTCACAGGTAGATGGATGCATCTGTTTCCGTGTATACATTGGCTGCTGAAAGCCGAAGAAGTGCTTGGCAGTTGTATATGGTGTAAGGACGTGCATGGAAAGACGGGCATAGATCTAGGGGATTGCCTTGCTACAACTGCGCAGTAAGTGCTATACTTCAGGGCGCCTCTTATACCCATCAGCAGCAGAAAACTGAGCTTAGTGAGGCTGCGCTCAGGACGCCTGAAGGCAGGAGGAGAGGTCTGCTGTCTTTGACATATTTGAAACTGGAGACATTTGCTACGGTTCGCATTTAGCCTGCAGGCGAGTAGAAGGACATATTCTAATTTCGGGCAGTGCTCCGCTAGACCACGAGCCTTAGTGTGCTTATCTGCCCAAAAAGGGGTAAGAGATGCAATGGGAGGAAAGGAAGGCGCGATATGGGCAAGATCTTCACCAAGAACAGTTACTGAGGAGATTGTGGTATGAGATTACTCTGGGTAACTCTTCAACCCACCTGGAACGGATTAGAGATGAGGTTCTAGGGTTTGGAGGTGACCCCAGGCCGATAGTTCAGTTGGATAGAATGCCCGGCTACGGACCGGGTGGTCGTGGGTTCGAATCCTGCTCGGCCTAATTTCGCCCGCTTCAGACGTGGGGAAGTAGAGTGAGAACAGCGGAGGACACGATTTTTGCCATCTGCAGGCGTTTACGAATAACAGCTGGTTCACATACGTATAGCACACGTACCTTACTCGGCGTGCCTGCGTCTCTGTGTAGTGCAGATGTTTTACATGCTTGTTACATACATTGCGTTGGCAGCACATTTTAAGGCACATTTTTGCCAAAGCATAGGGTAAGCTGTTGAACATTTTTCAAATTTCTAACCCAAATTCACCTACACGGATCTGTAGCTGCGTTAGCACTACTGCAAGTAAGCTGCACTTATTCAGTTGGCATTATATGCAAATATTTGTAGCACTCGCCGGGACATGATATCCTAGAGTGCGCATGCGAAGTCAAATGATGAGTAGATTCCTGGATCCGGCAAAAGGTCACAGAGTTGGTCGACTTGGGGCATCGGAAACTTTCGTCCAACCACTATTATGCTGAGAGGAGAAAAACGGAGGCGCATACGCAACCTCCCGTCCTCTTCCTTCGCCATCGCCAGATTGCCTACACACGCATTAGTGTACAATTGAACTTTGCATTTTCTTATCGGTTCGTCAGCTTGCCGCTCGAATTCCTCTTTACGTTGCAAGGTTGCTCGTTCCGTGGAGGGAAACGTGGGGCTGCACCTAAAGTGAGTTCTATGCGGCTCGTTGGGCATCCAGCGGGAAGGCAGCCAGCTAGAACTTCCTAGATATCTAGAACATAAGACAATTCCTCCTTCACCCGTGCCCGCTTCTGCTGTTCCCGTTGCCTTCAATGGATCGAATCCTTCGAAAATGCTGGCTGCACAAGATCATAACCAAGGAATCCAAGCGCTTGTCTCTCGTTTCTGGCAGTGCGTCTGGAACGCGATGGAGCCCCAAAGCTAGCTTATTCTTTGGGTGCTTCCTCAATCGGTAGTAGCACAATTTGCTTCCCTTTCCTAAAGCTTCTTAGTTTTGCCAATCCTTTGCCGGTCTTAGACAAAGCCTAACTCGCAACGTATACCAGAAGGCTTCCACAGGTCGGATTTTCACCAGAAGAGATGAACACATGCTTAGATCGAGCTACCGTTGTTGTGTTCTTTCTTGACAAACTAGACGCCAGGAGCAGTATCCCAATACATCACAAGAAGAGCAAGCGGCTCCTCCACTGCCACCCATTCCCTTCCTCTTCTCCCTTTTTTGCCACAGCTCAAAATCGAGAGACCTGGATAACTCGTTTCTTCTTCAGACTCTGCTCTGCCAGATCGTGCTGTTACTTGAATGAATGGAGTATCCTGTATTTGCTGGTGGAGAACCTGCATGAAAAGGCCTGAACATGAACGCCTAAGACCCACGGCTAAGACCGAAACTGCCTGTAGCTGTTTGTGCAGGAGTTTACTAAGGACATTTGGGCATGGGTATACTCTCTGGAGAACCCTTGAACTCTTAGAAGGCTTCAGCGGCTTAGGATCACAGATGCGAGCTGCAGGTCTGGAGGTGACCCCAGGCCGATAGTTCAGTTGGATAGAATGCCCGGCTACGGACCGGGTGGTCGTGGGTTCGAATCCTGCTCGGCCTACTTTAATCA